GCGCAGTAGAAATCATGAGCTAAAGTTTGTGACTTTGCTAGAATACGGCTGTTTGTGGCGTTTTCCATTTTTTTCAAAAACGAATAGGGGCATAAAGGTCAATAACATTTTTGAAATAAAAAATAATAATTTCTGTTAAAAATAATTAGTTAGAACTCACTAAATACTACAATTATCATTATCAAGTTATAAAATAAAAATCGATTAATTGTTGATTTAACGAATAAAAGTTGGAAAACTTAATATGAATATATTGAAAATAAGCAACTACTACAAATAAAATATAGACAAAAAATGTTGTATTTATAAACGTTTCTACAAAGCAACTTAAAAATCCTCAAAGGAGAGAAATTACCTGTTCATCATGTAATATCTAAAACATTCAACAATTTTTGGTCTACAAAGTTTTCGCATGTGTTTAAAAAATTAAAAATAATTAGCGTTTGTTTTAAAAAATATCTTCTCGATTTTCAGGCTTGCTGGGTATAACTTGTACTGTAAAAGAAAAAGTTCAAGAAAAATGAAGCGATTTGTGAATAAAACTAAAGTAATATGATTTAATTCTAATGAAAATGTATTAAAAATAGTGCAGTTCTTAGTTGAGCAATAAATCTCCCCATATCTGAAGTTCAATGGAAAAGTCTAGCGAAGTCTTTGAAAGCTAAGCAACACATCGACGCCTCCGAACCATACCAGTATGCTAAAGGCCGGTTGTTCAATGTCTGATTATCACTACTTGCCGGTTAAACATCATTATCGACGTTTTCGACATCATGCATGTAACATGTGATAGATAAAGCGGTCGTTGTATTTAACCGGAGCTTCTACCTCCGATTAGTGCTAATCAAACATTGAACAACCGGCCCTAAGTCTGACTAAGTCCAAGAGCCGGTTACTTAATGTCTGGTTAACACTATTCTGCGGTTAAACATCGTTATCGACGTCTTCGACTCTATGCATACAACAGGGGGTCATAACGTCGACAACTATGTTAAACCGGAGATTAGTGTTAACCCGACATGGAGTAATTGGGCCTAAGTTGACTTAGCATGGTATGGTTTATAGCCCAATTATGCATACTTAGCTTTGCATGAGAGTTGTCACATAAGAATATACGTAACGCATAGCTCTTAACATGTAGAATTCTGTTGGGTTTTGATTTTTATGTAAAAATGGTATAGCAGTGCAAGTATGCATAACTGGGCTATTAGAGGCGTTCTAACATACATATCATACGCACGGCAGTGCGCGCGAGTGACGAAAGCAGCCAGAGTAGCATGCTGAAATGACTCGCTTATATATCCACGAGATTTGGACGTTTTTATCCAGACGTCCAATCGACATGTTTGAGGTATCGTTGGAAAGGTTTTGCAGAGTGTGTCCAGAAAATGTATTCAACGATTATCCGAATTCTTAAAAATTAGGCTAAAGTGTTGCGAAACAAAAAAACGTTTTTTTTCTTTTGCCGGTTTAAGGGGGTATGAGGGTACACTCAACATATTTAGTGTTATTCTATAGGTCAATACCTTTCCAACGATACCTTATATATTGAGTTCCGGCTATTAGTTGGGAAGATATGGAGCTAAATTGATTTTAGTTCGTGTCTCCACTACAAGATGCTTTGCGATGTGCGTCTGTACGTACCTTCATTTATTTTCAAACTTTCAGGAATTAAAGCACCAAAAAACTAGGAAGGTTTTGTTCCAGGATGCTTCGATTCGTATGCCTTTGTGGGCGTGGCTGGTGCCTGAAATTCGAAAAAAGGCAGTTTTTTTAACTATCACTGAGGCCGCACTACTTATTCCTTATCAGTGGAAGGGCATTAGAAGAAGCTATCTAATACTGTCTTTTGCGTTTATGAAATATAAATATGTCACAACGATATCGCCTAAAAATCGGGCTGCTGAAAATGTAGGCTTCGAAAATTTTCTCAAAAACTGGTCAGTCGATTTTATTCTAAGTTTCCTCAAGTCTAACCCAAAACCTTAGCTTTCATTTCGTATAAAGGCTATACCTGGGAAAACTCTTGTTGTGGGGATATTACGATTTAAATTGAAAAAATATCGCTCAAAATAGCGAGAAATGGTTAAAAATTTAAATATTCGTCTAATTTGGTCACTTTAAGTTAAAACGTAACATACCCAATTTCCCACAAAAAACTGTGCATTCCCCGATGCCACCTAAACTGAAATTCCCTGCAAATCGAGGGATTTCCCGCGAGTTGACTTCCCTGCACGCAAGGCCGGCCGTAAGATTTCTCTTTTGGAGGGTTTTATGTAAAGTCGGCATAAAGTTTCCATCAACTCTAGATTTTGGGAAAAAACGTCCTGCACATTGACTTGATGGTCACTTAGTCATTTGTTCTCTTCTTCTTCTTTTTTGGCGCTGTAACCGCCTAAGCGATTTTGGCCGAGTTCAGCAA